GGTGCGGAGTAAAATCGGAATGTTGGGAAAATAGGATACAAGCGTCATTTGGGATATTGTTGGATGGTAAAAATGGAAAGTAGAATTAAGTAGAGTGGGGACACATAATAATGCGATATACCATCCTAGTTAGTAAATACGGGTACGGCAAAAAAACGGTACGGGAATTTTACGGGTATAATACGGCAAACGGTGAAAAATACGTTTATAAAAATTCGGCCATAAAATTCGGATACGGAAAAAATACGGTACGGATATATACGGGTTTAATACGGTGCATTGTCAATAATACGTTTTGAAAAATACGGTAATATCAATCTTAGTTTTAACACTTTTATGGACTACTTGGTTAAAATCAACATAACATTTCAAATGCAAAGTATTCAATTAACCAATAACACAAATACATAATACATAACTGATATTTAAATTATAGTCTCTAGACTCAAACACAATATTTAGTTAAAATTCAACTATAGTATCAACTATAGATTGATAATATTCTTAACTTTAATATTACTATGCCATAATTGTCAACATGTTCCGAGAAATGTGATTCTAGATTAATATAATCTTCCTCATTTTGAACTTAAATTGAGAGCAAATCACGGCAACCAATGAAGAGTCAAGTGGGATCGAACACAAATATCAAGAATTTTTTTAATCTTTCTTATCTTCTCTTTTTTTTCCCACTTGTGGACTTTTTCATTCTATATATAATTAAACCCATTTCTAGCTGCTTCTACCACATCGAAACAATGGCTAATTGGGTTCTCTCTTTTTGCTTAATTGCTCTCATTTTCTCTCTCTCCGATGGTGCTCCTGCAGCTACTTCAGCTAGTACTAAATATCTTGACGGTAAATCATTAATGATTTCAGTTTCAGCTTGAATATGTAACTGAAATGTCATGGTGGGTTTTACTTCGCGGTGCCTCGTGGTGTTCATGCGGTAAGGCTAGGCAACGAAGCTTCAATTTCTCAGAGTGTGAATGTGAAGGCCGGAGTTATTTATACGCTCACATTTGGAAAGAGAATAAGAGATGAAGAAAAGCTGAAAACGTGAAGATTTGAGGAAGAAGAGCTGAAGTAAGGAAGAACGAAGAAGAAGTGAAGAACTGAAGACTGAGATCTGCTTTAATTTTTAGTAAAAAACCTACAAAACGACGTCGTTTTGGGGTGACCTTTTTTGTTTTTTTTTTTTCAATAATTCGCGAATAATTCGCGAATTATTCGCGAATAATTCGGGAGGGCTTAAAATACGCGTATAATTCGGCAGATTTTAGAAAATACGTATACGGGCGTTTTATACGCGAATTATACGGCTGTCCGTATAATTCGCGTATAATACGCGTTTTTACTAACTAGGTTAATACCATATGATGCCAATATGCAGAAGCTGAAAGCGTCTAATTACTAATTTTTCAGTAACGTGAAAAATATTTTATTCTCCTCTTATTTTTTATTTTTTTGTGAAAATCTTCTATAAAATGGGTATATATGTGTTCGTTCAATAAGGAAATAAAACATTAGCAACTTAAGTTTGCTATTACCAAATATGTAAAACGACAAATGATAACTCTGTTGATATAAAAGGTACATATTAGATCGATAGATTCTAAGAACATTAATAAGTCAAATATATGATAAGAAAGTTTAGATCTATGTGGGTGATAGATCATGGAAACTGTTTAGTATAAATAAATTTATACATCATTGGCAAAAAGATAGATGTCATATTTTAGATATATAGATTCTGTTAGATACAAAACAAGATAGTACAGATTTATGTGAATTGTAGATTCTAGAAGTCATTCAGTAAATGGCAAATGATAGATGGTAGATTCTAGGAACCATTAAGTAAATATACAAATTATAGATGATAAATTTGCGTGTAGACAAAAAAATTAGAGGAGTGACCACTTGGCTTGTGGCCTAATGGCAAGATTGTGGGTTACCCAGAGGTCTTGTGTTCAAGTTACATAAAGTAATCATCTACCACATTTATGACTTATCTTGATCATTAGAGTTGTAGGGTGTTTAATAGACTTTAGGGATTAGTTAAGGTGTGCAAACTTTGTCGAATTTTATTTGTGGGAATGTTTGACATTTTATTTTTCTAGCGGATGATGATTTTGTTAAATTATCTATGCCCTGTGAGTGGATTGGAACATTTGGTTTTGTATTTGTTTTATTTATGGGATAGTGATTTTTTTTTTTTTTTTTGAAATTTCTATATGCCTAGTGTGCAGAATTCATTTTTAGGAATAACTGAATTGTTTTAGATGAACTTGTATGGATGCATGTACATATTATTGCCGGCTAGCCTAGTTGTTGTTAGTTTGTATTTTTTCAATTGATTGCCCTTATCTTTTACAATCATTGGGCTTGAAAGAGTTAACCTTGGATGGCTGAAAAGCCCTTTCTGCAATGAAGTTATGTGAACTCAATGACACTTCACATGTTCTTTGTAAATTATTACTGGTGTTTTAGGATCCATTGATTTGTAGTTTGATTGTGATTCCTCATTTTGAACCTAAATAATAATGGAAAATAATGTTTTAAAGTGTATTTGATTCAAAGCTTATGAAAATAATTATCCCAAAGTTAAGGTAATTTATGTAGCTTTATTTAAGGTTGTTACTTGCTTGAGACATAGTTATTACACAATTTGACCAAATTGGACTAAAATGCATGAAATTTCATTAATTGATGAACGATTACATAATAATAATATTCTATTATAATTTAAGGTGTACTTATGTAAATTTTCTGAGGACTATACTTAAATATCATTGGATTTATCTGTAAAAATATCAATACTACTAAATTGCCTCTTTCGTAACTGGTAAACTCTACAACAATTACAAAAGACAAAAAATCCAACTATATAATAATATATTGTCTCTACTTAGAACTTGTTATTTATTATATAATTTTATTTTATTTATTTTCATCACTTGGGTTGTGCATTCTTGGGCCTGTTGTTTTTTAACAAATGTGTGAAGTCCTTGGGCTTGTGCCATTTGAGCTGGAGGGTTTATTTAAGCTGCAGCATTTCTTTATATGAAAATGTTGTACAGTTAGCTTTAGGGCTTTTGTCAAGACCTTCTTTTTGATAAGGCTTAGCTTGTAGAGGCTTGTTTTTCCTCTGTTATGACCTTTCTTCTTGTTAGTTTGATCCATCGGTTTGTCCAAGGCTCTTCTGGGGAAAGGGTTCTCTTTCCTCGGTAGTAATCTTTTTTTTTTTTTAATTTAATTATTGGGTTTATCCAAAAAAAAATTTACTTTTTTTCCAAAATAATTAAACAGATAAACAATTAAAAAAAAAAAAACAAAAAATGAAACAATATATTAAGATATTATTTTTACTTATAACTTCTTACATGGATTGCATCCAATAACTTTCCATGTATTATTCCAAAGAAAGAAAAAAGTGAATTTAACTATTAATATCGATGGAAATTTTAAAAATTAAAAATTAAATTCAGAGTGAAAGTAATGTCTTTAAGGTTAAATTAATGAGTAATGCTACAGCTACCGAAGATTGCGCACTGAATTTGTGCACCGAATGACATGGCAAAATTCTGACCGTTTATTTATTATCAGTTAATATTAATCAACGGTCAAGATTTTGTCACGTCATTCGGTGCACAGATTCGGTGCGTAACCTTCGGTGGCTCTATTATTTTCGTAAATTAATTATGTTAATTACTTTCTCACCACTTTAAGACTTCAACAAATTAAAGTAATTGACTTGGAAATTTGGGTTACTTTCATACATCTTTTAAGAAAAATATTATTATCTTGTCTAAGAATTTAACTATTAATATCGATGGAAATTTTAACAATTAAAAATTAAATTCAGAGTAAAAGTAATGTCTTTAAGGTTAAATTAATTATGTTAATTACTTTTTCACCACTTAAAGACTTCAACAAATTAAAGTAATTGACTTGGAAATTTGGGTTACTTTCATACATCTTTTAAGAAAAATATTATTATCTTGTGAAAGTAAAATGTGCTTGATCTTGTTTTCTAAAAGGCATATGTGTATCACATTAGATAAGACTATGAACCTAAAGTCTTGATTTCTATAAGACTAGCAATATGTATACATTTTTTTACAAAATTACATTGACAAACTCTTTAAATTTAAATTTTATGAAGTATAAAATTTAAAATAATCTGTAATTTTAATTTTTTTTTTTAAATTATAAAATCATTAGGGGAAAAAACATGATTTGAGAAAACAAAAATATTTTTATATGTCGTTTTAGAGAAAATATAGAAATTTCTCGCTACTATTTTCCATTATAAACTATAGAAAGTGCCATCTATATTCTAATTTTTTTGTTTATTTTATTTTTGTGAAGAATACTAATTGGGAAATCAGTTTCATATAAAGACTTGGAATAAGTGAAAATTATTAATAAATTAAAGAGATTATAATCTATTTTATTTATTAAAAAAATAGTGGCTACTGTTTTAAAAAGAAAAAAAGAGAGAGAGATTATAATGGATATTGTGAGAATCACATAATAATATCACATCTTTTTTAAACAAGAAATTTGTCATTGTAAATAAAGAAAATATTAATAGATTTATACGTATTACTTCCCCCACCAAATTGCTTCTTCCATAATGAGTCAACTGAAAAGCAATTAAAAAAACTAGAAATTAATAATATATTAAAATATTACTCCACTTATAACTTCCTAAATGGGTTGAGGTCCTGAGTCCAACAACTTTTCATTATTTCAAAGAGAATAAACGACATGTTCCCACCCAAGGTTTCGTCAAACTGCTAGTTTTTACCCTTTGGTTTCATAAATTTCAGATTCACACCCTTAAAATAACGTTTTCTTTATTTTAACAGTTGAAGGTAAAATTACCTTTTCTTATTTTTCTCTCTCCCCTTCCCATTTCTTCTTCATCTCCTCCTCCCCCTCCTCCTCCCATATTCTTCTTTTTCCCTCCCCATCTCAAAACGATTATCATTTCAAGCCCCCTACCTAATTCCGGTGGCGTCTAGACCCACTACCACCACCATTTGATCGCCCAACCCCACCACACCAAAACCCCTCTATCCCCCACCCCACAGATCTTGCAAATCACCCCCTGGCCGTATTCTGAAATCAGTCTACTCGACGTCCTTTACGCCACTTTCGGCTTTTTTCACCCAAAACCACCACCATCTGCCTCCCTAAACCTCCCACACCAAAACCCCAGCCTTTGCTTAATTGAAACCAGTCATCCACACCTGGAAATCACCGGCCACAACTGGGTTTTTTATATGCGCTGCGTGACTGTCTCTTGCCAGATTTCAGCTGATTCCAGTGGCCTCAACCCCAAACGACACCACCCCTACACTCACTAGCATCTCACCTTCAAAACCCCCAACCTTCCCAGCCACGAGTGCCTGATGTTCACCATTGCCACTCAACTTTGGGTTTTGCAAAATCAGCTGAAATTGGGTTTGATTGGTTGTGGAATTGATTTTTGATTTGTTTGATTTTTGATTTAGTTTTTTGCTTTTGCATTTTGTCTCTGTTTTTGTATCTTGTTCAATATTTTATTTTGATTGTTTGTGTTGCGGTGATTGTGTTAGGAAAGAAGAAGGGCCGGTTGTGGTGGTGGTTTGGGAGGGGGTGATTTGGCTAGCTGTTGTGGTGGTTTGGGATGGGGTCATTTGGAATGGGCTGTGGTGGCAGGAAGGTGGTGTCGGTAGGTGGGAGGCAGTCAAAAGCCGACGGCAGTGAAGAAGAGGAAAGTAGATGAAGAAGAAAAATGTCAAAGGGCAATTTTGTAAAAGAACCCTCTGCCCCTGTGTCGCAACCCATCCGTCAGTAACAACGTCCATTTAAGGGTGAGAATTAGAATTTATGAAACCAGGGGTACCAACAAAATTTCACTAAACCTTGGGTGGGAACAAGTCATTTACTCTTTCAAAGAAAGCAAAAAAAGGTGTAATTTAATTATTTATTTTAAATATATAAATATAGAGTCAGGTAATTGCTTTTTGATTACGAGAATAAAAAGGTCAAAAAAATAGCCAAAAGAGTCAAAGATTGATAATATGTTCCCTTATTGAAGACAGGGTCAACTATTGTTGACCAGTGAAGTCAACTGGGACAAAGAACAAGTCTTATGATAGCGACATAGAAATGGAGCTGTTAATTATTCTTGAAGAAACAGTATTAAACAAGAGTAATATTGGTTTATACATGTAATGATAGTGTTGATGAAATCAGCCGCTTCAGTTTCAGCAATTGTTTGCTTGTATGTCAGTTGCATTTTCTTGCACCTTCTTGTACTTGATGTAGCTCAAACTCAAGCTCAAACTACTACAGCTCCTCATGAAGGTCTGCTTCTAAGTAGAATTTTACTTATCTTTTTTTTATTATTTTAACTCTGAAAGATGCTTCATATTCAGACTCGGTAACTCATTTCATTCTTCTCTTTTTTTGAATTGCTTCTCTTCTATAACAGTGGCAGCATTGAATATGATTTTTGAAAAATGGGGGATTTCTGCAAATCAAAATCAATGGAATATAAGTGGAGAGCCATGTAGTGGAGCCGCCGTTGACGAATCCATTGCCCTTGCTACCAATGGTTACAACCCATTTATGAAATGTGATTGTTCTTTCAACGAAGACACTCTTTGCCACATAAGTAGGAAAAGACAAAATTTTGAGAACTTGAGCCTTTCTTTAATTTCAGGGTTGCTTACTTTTACAATTTCTTAAATTATAGGAGAGTTTACGCACTGGAAGTTGACAGTGTGATCCCAGATGAGCTATGGAGTTTGAATTTCCTCATAGAACTGTATGGTTTTGTATATTTCATATATGCTTATTTCAATTGTGTATAATTTTAGATCATTAGATGAGGGTGAGTGGTTATTAAAATATTTTACTTTATTTTATTGAATTATGTTTATATTTCTTGACACCATACTGTATCAACATCATAATTAAAATGATTTAAGCTTTGCGTTCTTAAATATCAATCTTGCCAGTTGTTCTGTTTTTAATAGGAGGATACAAAGGAACCACTTGTCAGGTTCACTTTCTCCATTTGTCAGCAATCTAACTGCATTAAAATCACTGTAAGCAACTAATATAAAATTTTAATTTTGAAACTCATACTATTTTCCTTTTTTTTTATGCTAATTAGTTCTCATTTTGATCAGGGACTGTAACTTTAATAGATTATCTGGGCCGCTTCCAAAAGAACTTGGAATGCTTTCTGAATTAGAATTCCTGTAAGCTCAAAATCTGTCCCTTCTTAACTATTTAACTTTTAATAATTTAATGTACGAACTCTTTTTTAGTAATTGCATTACAATTATATAACTGAATAGCTAAATTCTTGGGGATGTAGAGGAATTGGAGCAAACAACTTATCTGGTCCTCTGCCATCTGAGCTCGGTAATTTGACGAAGTTAAAGACATTGTAAGTTCTTATACATTTTCGGTTTCATTTTCAATGCAACATTTTGCTTATATAGAGCGTATCTTGTACGAACTCTTTTTTGTAATTGCATCATAATTATATAACTGAAGAGCTAAATTCTTAGGGATGTAGAATACTTGGAACAAATGACTTCTCTGGTCCTTTGCCATCTGAGCTCGGGAATTTGACGAACTTAATGGAATTGTAAGTTTTTATAAACTTTTCGGTTTCATTTTCAATGCAACATTTTGCTTATATTGAGCATATCCAACCCCAGCTGGCTTTAGTCTTAGCTTTAGCATAAACCAAATTCTCAGTTACTTCACACAAGATTATATTATCATGTGTCGTGTAATTCATTTACTTGACGATGGCTTTATTGGAGTCAGGTTACTAGATTTGTAAGGAATCTATAAATATTCTTTGCCTTTGGCAGATATATTGACAGTACTGGACTGAGTGGTGAGATTCCTTCGAGTTTCGCTAATCTAAAGAACATGGAAATTCTGTAAGAACTTTTTTATTCTGCTAATATTCTAATCGGAATTTTTCTAATATAGATATGCTTTCTACTGATGAAAAATGGCTTGGATTAGATCTTAATCTAATTGTTTTATTGTGCTCAGGGTGGCTTATGGCATTGAACTTTCAGGAAGAATTCCTGACTTTATAGGAAATTGGTCAAATCTTAATACCTTGTGAGAAAACTATTATATTTTTTTTTTTTCCCATTATTTTGTTCTCAGTCACCCTTAAGTTATTTTAGCTTCAAGTTTCTTGGCTAAGAATTGAGTTTCAAACATTGATTTTAATGTTTGAGATTGGGAATATCTACTTGGGTACTTTAAACGTTCCTACTTTGAATGCTATGCCAGTACAGCTCAAAATTTCCTTTTTCCATATGTTATTGTAGGATACTTATGGGAAATTCGTTTGAAGGGCCGATACCATCATCTTTTTCCAGTCTAACTAATCTGACTGAGTTGTGAGTATTTGCCTGCAAGATTTCATTGATTATGTTTGAATTTTTCAATAATCAATACTAACAATCTTATAAATAAATAAAAAATTGAAAATGCAGGAGAATAAGTGATTTATCTGATGGGAGCTCCTCGTCATTAGCATTTCTAAAGAATATAAAAAACTTAACGTACTTGTAAGGCAACATTGTCAAAGTTCTAATATCATGTGTTGAATTACTTGATATATACTTTTTGTGTTTTTCTTTGTCTTCTTTCTTTGATCTACACTGTTTGTTTCATATACTGCAGAGAACTAAGGAATAACAAAATTTCCGATTCAATTCCATCTAATATTGGGGACTACCTAAGTTTGCAGCACCTGTAAGTTATCTATTCTCTATTCTCTTTTTATTTTTATGTCCATTACTTTTGGTTTGTTTGTTTTTTTTTTTTTTTTTTTTTTGCAAGTTTTCATCTTATAATTGTGTAATTCTAATTTTTTTTTCTTCAGGGATCTGAGTTTCAACAATATCAGTGGATAAATTCCCAGCTCGCTTTTCAATTTGGGTTCCCTGATTTACCTGTAATCTACAATTTCTAATTTGTTCTGTCTTTTACTTCCTAGTGTACTCGTTATATTGAAACATGACTTCTGTACTCAGGTTTCTTGGAAACAATAATTTAATCGGTACCCTCCCGAAAAAAAAAGGGACAACTCTTCTCAGTATGTAAGTACTTTTTACATATTTGCCTCAACCTCATTACAATATACCAGAATGGAATGCTCTACTAATTAATGTTTCAACTGAAAAGATAATAGTTACAAGATGAGTTTTCCCGGGAACCCCAGTTTTTAGTAAAAGTCACTCGAGCGAAAGGCTAAACTTGCATTTATATTGACCTATACTTACATAAGTGCATTGCTTCTCCTAGCTAAATGCATGTGAATTAACATGTCTAGCTAAGCTTGTTACTTGTACTTGTGGGGTTCTTGGGAAAAAATCCAAAATCTTATAGAAAAAAAAAATCATTGTGATTTTAATAATACCTGAATTTTATACTCACAAGCACATGCATTGTGTAGTTAAAATTCTCCTCACCTGATGTTGGCAGAGATGTATCTTACAATAATCTATCCGGCAACCTACCTTCTTGGATTCAACAACAAAATTTACAACTGTACGTCCTTAATTTTTTTAAACATGTAATTTATTTAAAATCTTTACTATACATTTCACATTTTCTTAGATAAATTTTTACTTTCCAGTATAGTATTTAAAATGATGAAACTAAAATTCAGAATGCTATTGTTGCAATGTGCAAAAACTTAGTGGCCAACAACTTCAACATAGAAAGTTCTAATTACATCAGGTAATTCTCTTGTTCTGTGTTTTGTTAAAATGCTTGAGGCTCTTTATAACAATATTGAAAATGAACAATAATGGATAACATGATTTCTATGTTCCTACTCTTCCTTTAGTGCTCTCCCGTATGGGCTGAATTGTCTCCAACGCAATTTTCCTTGCAATCGAGGTTCTGGAATCTGTAAGTACAACTTCTCTATTTCGTGGTTTCGAGAGTTTTAGGGTTAAAATTTCAGTAGAGTAACGCCTATTTTAACACCTGTCCCAAATTTAATTACTCTGTTAAAAACACTTATAATAGCCATTCATCAAGATACAACATACATAACATACATGTGATCTTCGTCCACACCAATATTTATTAAATACATCAATTCGTACAACTTCAAAGGATTATATATTTTCACAATATATCTATCCTCATGGCTTTGAATAGGGTCCAACTAAGTAGATATAATCCTCTAGAGTTAATCATTTCGATGTAGGCTTGCATGCGTTTGCTTTCGGGCTTCACACAACCGTCAAACACCCAAAATGCATCTACTTAGTTTTGAGGACCTAAGCCTTATAAATTGAATCCTGAACTCATTTGCCAGCAATGTGGGATGTAAAAAACTGATTACCTTATGGACCTCACATCCTTGTAGGTCGTCGCACTACATTGTTGAGTCGCGAACCGACTTTGATATCAATTGTCAATCCTAAATCCAACCAATTAAATATTGACCAACTCTAATAAATTCTTTTGTGACTCTCTATTTTAACCCCCAATTACTATTTTTGTTTTTCTTTCCTTCTTCTCATTCTCTTCTTTTCCATATTTTCTTCACACCGTTTGCTAACTCTTTGTAAGAACAAGAGAAAGCTTATCTTCTTTTCTTTTCCTTTCTATTTGGCTAACATATAAGACACCGAGATTTTTCATTTCTCTTTGCAATTAAACCCCTCCTATATATTACCTATCTTCTTTATCTCCTTAGTCACCCCCACTGAAATTTTTATTTCACTCATAACAAAGATATATTATTTATTAATATACCCCTTCTAATACCCTTTTTCTAATTGTTGAAAAACAAAAATGATTAATCTAAAATATATAATCACAAATATTAAATAAAATTAAAATAATAAGTGGCTAGATATTATAAATCAAACTTTTAGACATACATATTCTTAATGTTTTACCATGATAAGAGGTTATATTGGTATGCAGATTCGAGCTTTGCAATTAATTGTGCCGGTTCAAAATTTACATCTCACGATATTGTGTATGAGAGTGACAATGAGCGTCTTGGTCCAGCTACATACTATTTGACAGACACAAATAGATGGGGAGTTAGTAATGTTGGATACTTTGAGGACGATAATCTAGAGTATACAATTAATTCTGCGTCTATAGTCACAAATACTCAAGAGTCGATACTTTTCCAAACAGCTCGAACCTCTGCTTCATCTTTAAGATACTATGGTTTAGGCCTTCAAAATGGAAACTACACTGTGACTCTCCAATTTGCAGAGTTAGCTAATTTCACTGCTACTAGATGGAAAAGTTTGAGGATACGCGTTTTCGATATATATGTTCAGGTATGTATTACATATTCAAATTATTTTAGCCAAATACGCCTCACCTATACATTACATAGGTTTATGTTGAGGTTAAAGCATGATGAATGACCTTAAATGTAATACATTTCCCAATATCTTTCCTTTCAACTGTTATTGGTTTTTGTTTCAACATTTAAATATGTTTATTCCAAGGAAATCTTGTTGAAAAAGATTTTGACATAACAAGGGTAGCGGGTGGAGTCCTTAGGAGAGCAGTTCAAAGAGAATATTTGGCTCAAGTATCCAAAAACTACATGGAAATCCATTTTTTTTTTGGGCTGGGAAGGGGACTTACCTTGATCCTGTACATCATATATACGGACCCTCTATTTCGGCCATCAGTGCTACCCTAGGTTCAAAAAATAGTAACTTCCTTATTGTCCTTTTCCCACTTTTTGGTCGATTTCCTTGCACATTATAAGATATTGATTCTATTACTGAGCTTGATACAGATTTCAGTTGATTTGGTTGCATTATTAAGATATTAAGTTAAATACTATGATTTGATACAGATTTCAAACCTCCAAGTCAGAACAAGAGAATAGGCCTAATTGTGGGGATTGTTGTTGCTTTTGGGGTCGTAATTCTGTTGCTTGCAATTTTTTTTGTTGTCCAAAGAAGTAAAAGGCCACAGACTATTGATGACGGTAAATCAAAAGATCTTCGCTATCACCGATGTCTTATCTATCATATTTACCAGCTATCACCGATGTCTTTTCTATCATATTTACTAGCTATGAAAAATGTTTGAATAAGAAGGTGAGTTACATAACTTGTCAAGTAGACTCTGGCTCCTGTACAAGAAACCATTGTACATATAAATTAAAGAACAATGTATTTTACTAATGCTTGTTCAATTCATAAAGCAGAGTTCCATTAGTAAGTTCTTAAGTGCATTACAAGATAAGAACTTGGATTCTAGGTTAATTAAAAGGAACAAAACTATGCCATTTTTTGAAATAAATAGAACTCTTGGTCATTTTAGTTTTTTGCCAAATTGCTTACCCTTTAGGCACAAAACTATGTTACAATGCCACAATTAGACAATTGCATCTATTATTTCCAACAATTCACATGTTTGACTTGACAACCCCGCTAAAGTATTTGAATAGACAAATAAGTTCCTGACAGTAAGCTAAGTTTGTTGTTGAATTTTTAGAGCTTGTCGGCATGGATGTTAGACCATACACTTTCAGTTATGCAGAACTAAAGACTGCTACAAAAGGCTTCAGTTTTGCAAATAAGCTTGGTGAGGGAGGATATGGACTAGTTTATAAGGTAAGTCATTGTTCTAATAAGTGCCAAATGAGTGGTGAGCACATTTGGTGCCTTAAGACAGGTTTCTGCATTACTTTTTGTCCTTGATTAACTTGAAAACACAATCTTTTTGGCTTTATGTCAATAAATAGTCAAGCCATCTTTGAGTTTTGTCCTCTTTGGTTCATTAAATAAAAGACAAGATTTGGTATTTGGTCAATAAAAATCATATAAAATTGATCAATTGTTAGCTGATTTTTCTCACCATTTCAAGTTGAACTTTTTACACAATAGGGAACACTCAGTGATGGAAGAGTAATTGCTGTGAAGTAATTATCTGTAGCATCCCACCAAGGGAAGAGCCAGTTTTATGCAGAAATTACTACCATATCTGCCGTGCGACACCGTAACCTAGTAAAACTTCATGGATGTTGTTATGAGAGAACACAATGAATGCTTGTCTATGAATATCTGGAAAACAACAGTCTTGATAAAGCTTTATTTGGTATGCGAATAGCATATATGTAGTACTAAGTTTTTCTTAGGAATCCTTGTTATGTCAATAACAGTTTAAACTTTTGTGACTTTTGCGAAGCAGGAAAAGGAAGTTTGGACCTTGACTAGTCAACGCGTTATGATATTTGTTTAGGAGTAGCAAGGGGTCTAACTTATCTTCACGAGGAATCAAGGCTTCGAGTAATACATAGAGATGTGAAAGCCAGTAATATTCTACTTGATGGTAATCTCATCCCCAAAATATCAGATTTTGGTTTGACCAAACTTTATGATGATAAGAAGAGTCACGTAAGCACTCATGTTGCTGGGACAATGTAGGACTTTTAATGTACACCTGAAATTTATTAATATATTATTTTTTTACATTCATTAGATTACTAAAATGAATTTTGCCTCTATTGTATTGATGTAGTGGATATGTTGCAACAGAGTATGCCATGCGTGGATATCTTACGGAGAAGACTGATGTGTTTGCCTTTGGTGTTGTGATTCTAGAAGTTGTTAGTGGGAGACCAAACTGGGATTCAAGCTTGGAAGAAGAGAAGATGTATCTTCTTGATTGGGTATGAATGATATTGCAGTACCATTTTTTTCTCCTTTTACTATTTTCTAGTACTTGATAAACAAATTTGAAAGAACCAAATGAGGCCAAACTTGATCTCCATAGATATAGCCTTCTCGCTTTTCTTTTCTACTATTCCTTCTGATTTAGTCACTCATATATCACAACCTCTATCTTTCCTGCTTAATTCCTAGGCTTGGCACCTATACAAGAACAACCGCCAACTCGAACTAGTGGACTCAAAATTGTCAAAATTCAATGGGGAAGAAGTAAAAGGCCTGATAGGGGTAGCGCTTTTGTGTACTCAGACATTGCCCTCGTCGAGGCCATCAATGTCCTGCGTGATTGCCATGCTTCGTGGAGATGTGGAAGTGAGTACAGTAAATTCTAAGCCTGGATACTTGACTGAATGGACATTTGATGATGTGACCACCTTTGTTGATGATGATATAAATGAAGAATGTGAAGATACTAACCATTACAATGGATAAAACTCCAGAAATAAGTGCTAGTGAAGCCCTGCTCCATTGATTAGCTTTTCCTTTAGATTCCAGTTTTATTTCATGTTAATTAAACACGACTATTATTCATAATGTTAAAAAATTTAAGACCAATAAACTCTAGTAAAAAATATAGGGAATAGATTTTGAACTACGTACTGTTCAACAAGCACATGACTGAATCTTCACCAGGAAATGGATATTGATTTTGAATTACTTCTTCTTCAACAAGCAGAGAGGCTAAAACTTCACTAGGAAATTGAAATAAACGACTTATCCATGACATTATTGGAAAGGGTGGATAACAAATTAATATTTATTGCTTGATTGAAGTATAAGTTATTGAAGCTTCTTTTATGTATATTCTTTGATTTGAAAGGAAAGGGGCCCAACTGTTCAATAAGCTTAGCCTTAGTAATGTGGGACGCAATTGGGTTGTTACAATATATCCACCGTATTTCTAAGACCGACAGCCACGATAGTCCATTCACTCAAATAGATTTCGTCTATTCAAACAAGTCAAGAATACTAATTAAACATCCACTGAAAATGTTTTTAAACTTTAAATTCAATTCACTTTGAAAAAAAAAATAATAATAAAACAATCAAGATCACCTCCTAAATCAAATTTAAAACTTCAAATTTCAGGGTGTTACATTTTCTACACGCTAATAAAAATATGGTCCACTTATAATGATGTATTGTTGTTGTTGAAGGTGGTCTATGTAAAGGGGAACTGAAACTCAGCAACAATTAATGGAGAAATTCAAATGCAAATCAGTACTTGCCTATTTTGTCCTCTTTTTTTATTGTGTTTGTTCTGAGTAATAACTGCGATTTTTCTGTGCTACTACTTGCTCCAGATGCTGTTTGGCTGCTGAAAAAAATTTCTATTAGGTGGTCAAAAAAATTGGTAGAAAAGGAATAGGATAAATAATCAAGTAATTTCCAATTTCTTATTAAAGGATAAATCTTCACATAATTCTTTTTTCTGTAATAATATTTTGTTTGAGTTGAGTTTAACTATTAAATCTATATTAGATTACGTTAAAGGAAAAAAAATTCCTAAATTAAGTTCAGATTTTGGACGGAGTGGTAATTAAGGGGAATCGGTGGTGTTTGTTTGGTAATGTAGAGAAGTGGTGTGGGGGTAAAATTGGAATATTGGGAAATTGGATACAATCGTCATTTGGGGTATTATTGGAGGGCAAAAATGGAAAGAAGAATTAAGTGGAGTGGGGACACATAATAATGGGATATACCGTATGATGCCAATATGCAGAAGCTGAAAGCATCTAAGAAAGTGCATGCGTTACAACTTACAATCACTTTTTTTTTTAATTACCAATAATGTGAAAAATATTTTATTCTCTTCTTATTTATTTATTTATTTATTTTGTGAAAATCTTCTATAAAATGGGTATATATATGTGTTTGACCAATAAGTAAAAAACACATCAACAACATAAGTTTGTTATTATCAGGTATGTAAAACAGCATATGATAACCCTGTCGATATAAAAGGTATATTTTATATCGATAGATTCTAGGAACATTAATAAATCAAATATATGATAAGAAAGTTTAGATATATGTGGGTGACAGATTACGGTAATTATTTAGTACAAACAGATTTATATATCATTGTCAAAAAGACAAATGCCATATTTTAGATTGATAGATTCTATCATATACAAGACAAGATAATACAGATTTGTGTGAATTATAGATTCTAGAAGTCATCTAGTAGATGACAAATGATAGATGGTAGATTCTAGGAACCATTATGTAGATTAGTAGATATCCAAACTATAGATGATAAAATTACGTGTCGGCAAAAATTAGAGGAGCGACCACTTGGCTTGTGGCCTGATGGTAAGACTATAGGTTACCCAGAGGTCTTGTGTTTGAGCCATACAAAGTGACCACCTATTACATTTGTGATTTACTTGGCCCATTGGCTTACAAGGTGTTCAATGGACCATAGGGATTAGTTGAGGTACACACAAACTTTGTTGAATTTTATTTGTGGGAATGTTTGACATTTTATTTTTCTAACGGAGGATGATTTTGTTAAATTATCTGTGCCTTGTCGGTGGATGAGAACATTTGGTTTTGTATTTGTGTTACTTAAGGAATAGTGATTTTTTTGAAATTTCTATATGCCTAGTCTGCAGATTTCATTTTTAGGAATAACTGAATTGTTTTAGATGAACTTGTCTGTATGCATGTATATATTGTTTTATTTTGTTTTGCAATTTATGTCCGCTATGTTAACTAGTTTGTAGAGTAAATTGTTAGGAAATTTGATAAGAACTATTCATAGTAAATTTGGAACCTCACAGTAACGGTTATTGGAGAGATGAATATTTGGTGTATGTGATGTTCACATGAGTATCGTTTGTATTTGGTGTTAATCGTTGATGGAGTTGCAGCTAAGACAAATGAAGGATGCATTGGGTATTGGTTTGGTTAGGAAAATGATAGAGTTATCGAAAATTACATACCGAATCTATACACCGAATGACGTGATAAAATCTTTACCGTTGATTAATATTAACTTATAATGAATCAACGGTTAGGATTTTGTCACGTCATTCGGTGTACGAATTCGGTGTGCATCTTTCGACAACTGTAGCATTACTCGTTTGGTTATAGTGATAGTTATAAGATGAAGCAACTCTAAACATCTCTATGAGGTATTTTTGGTTATTACTGACTAGCCTAGTTGTTGTTAGCCATGATTTTCTTAATTGATTGCCCTAATCTTTATATAATTGGGCTGCTCATTTCCATTCTTGAAAGAGTTAAACCTTGGATGGTTAAAAAGCCCTTTTTGCAATGAAGTTATGTGAATTCAATGACACTTCACATGTTCCTGGTAAATTATTATAGGTGTTTTAGGATCCATTGATTTGTAATTTGATTGCAATTCCTCATTTTGAACCTAAATAATACTGGAAAAATATTTTATTCAAAGCATGTGAAAATAATTATCCCAAATTTAAGGTAATTTTATGTAGGTTGTTGCTTGCTTGGAACATAGTTATTACACAATTTGACCAAATTGGACGAAAATGGAATTTCATTAATGGATGAGTGATTACATAATAACAATATTCTATCACAACTTAAGACATATTTATGTAAATTTTATGAGGACTATACTTAAATAGTGATAGACTTTGAGGTGGGTCTGACTCCTTAACTAATAAGATCTTGTTGAATGGAAAAATTACCATATCTTATAAACTAGTAGGCTTGAGCGTGCCTAATCCCTCACGGTCAAAGCTCATATGTTGGGTCATGCTTATTGATGGAGATAGTTGCTGGCTCCTCACTCGCTAGTCAAGCACTTTAGCTCAACTTGACCTAGCTCTGATACCATTATAGAATTTAAAGTGGGTCGGATTCCTGACCCAATAAAACATTTTTGAATGGGAGGATTAACCTTTCTTATAAACCAATAGGCTTAAACGTACTTAATCCATGTGGGATTCCAACAAATACCATTGGATTTATCTGTAAAAATATCAATACAACTAAATTGCCTCTTTCGTAACTAGTAAACTCTAAAAAAATTATAGAGGACAAAAAAATCCAACTGTATAATAATATTGTCTCTACTTAGAATTTGTTATATGGGTTGGATCCAACAACTTCACTTATTCTATATAATTTTATTCTATTTATTTTCACCACTTGGGTTGTGCATTCTTGGGGCTGTTATTTTTTAACCAATGTGTGAAGTCCTTGGGCTTGTGTCATTTACGCTGGAGGGTTTGTTTAGGCTTTTGGGCTTGCAGCATTTGTTTATATGAAAATGTTGTATAGTTAGCTTAGGGCTTTTGTCAAGGCCTTCTTTTTTATAAGGCTTAGCTTGTAGGTAGTTTGATATTTGGGTTTGTCCAAGGCTCTTTTAGGGGAAGGGCTCTCCTTCCTAGGTTGTAATTTTTTTCTTTTTTATTTAATTACCAGGTTTATCAAAAAAAAAAAAAAAAAAATTTACTTTTTCCATAATAAGTAAACAGAAAAACAATTAAAAAAAACACCAGAAATGAAACAACACATTCATATATTATTTCCACTTATAACTTCTTATATGGGTTGCATCCAACAACTTTCCATGAGTATTCCAAAGAAAGAAAAAAGTGAATTTAACTATTAATATCATTGGAGATTTTAACAATTAAAACTTAAATATAGAGTGAAAGTAATGTCTTTAAGGTTAAATTAATTAGGTTAATTGCTTTCTCGTTACTTTAAGACTTCAACAAAAAAGAGTAATTGACTTGAAAATTTGAGTTACTTTCATACGTCTTTTAAGAAAAATATTATTATCTTTCATGTAAAATGTGCTTGATCTTGTTTTCTAAATAAAATAAAATGATAAAAAAAAGAAAAGCATGTTTATTTTTTATATTTTTGTCGAATTGATAAGATAAAATAGCCACTAATTGATTTGAAAGCCTACAACCTTCATTACGACATATGTATCACATGAGATAAGACTATGAACCTAAAGTCTTTATTTCTGAGAGACTAGCAATATGTTCAAATTTTTTTACAAAATTATATAGATAAACTCTTTAAATTTAAATGTTATGAAGTATAAAATATAAAATAATATGTAATTTAAAATTTTTAAAAACATTTAAAAAATCATTAGGGGAGAAAACATGACTTGAGAAAATAAAAATATGTTTTATATGTCGTTTTAGAGAAAATATAGAAATTTCTCACTACTATTTTCCATTATGAACTAAAGAAAGTACCATCTATATTCTAATTTTTAAGTTTATTTTATTTCTGTGAAAAATAATAATTGGGAAACTAGTTTCATATAAAATCTTGGAATAAGTGAAAATTAGTAATAAATTAAAAAGATTATAATCTATCTTATTTATTAAAAAAATAGTGGTTACTGTAATTTAAAAAAAAAAAAAAGATTATAATGGATATTGTGAGAATCGCATAATAATATCACATCATTTTTATACAAGTAATTTGTCATTTTAAATAAAGAAAATATTAATAGATTTATATTACTTGCCCCACCAACAATTACTTTTTTTTATAAAGGTCTTCTAATTTGTTCTCTAATTAACTACTATAATAATTGGATTTTATGAAAAAAAAAAAAAAATTGAATGTATGAAGTGTTTTTTGTTGAATTAATACATTTAGGGAAAGTAAACTATTAACTTGCAATCAATTGTTTTTTTTTTTTTTTAATCCCACAATAT